AACTTATGGTTTGGCTGAACGAAAGACACTGTGAAACGTTCACCATGAGTTAGTGAATATACAGCCTCTCTTCTCCTACACATTGAGAGTGTGGTTATACATCGCGATTTGGTCAATCTCATCACGCGATTTGAGCGACCCAATCGCAAAGTATGAACGCACACTGGGAGGGTATTGATCAGGCGCGCATATAATCAATACCTGTTATGAAGCATGTGGCGGAGGTGGTGTAGTGACAAGTGGCGCGCTTACCACTCGCGCGGCGCCGGGTTCAAATCCCGGGTCGACTCCCGCCCAGGCCAACCAAGCCTTCTACCCTCCGGGGACGGTAAATTGGTACCAGATTCGTCTGGGAGGATAACACTGACTTGTACATCGGCTGGCCACCGCAAGTCATTGTATAGGCCACATCGCATTCAATAAGCCACTACGATTCTGAATGGAAGTAGAATGCGTGCCGCATCCCACAAAGGGATTGATCAACGGCGAAGACTTTATCCTTTTTATCCTTATTTTGAAGCATATGTCCTGGCCTGCTCGCTCGCGGATGTTGGCACGTGTTAGGGGAGCTGGTTTTGGAGCCGCTGTAGCCCGATTCTCACCATTTGCGGTCGATTGGCCTTTAGAATTGATGGAAACTGGTTGGCGGCGCGCCAAACCCAGCCCCTCCTCCCCCTGTCTAATACAAGGATAAAGGACTAAAGTCCTTCGCTGTTATAATCCCCTCTAGCGATGCGGCACGCATCCTACTTCCATCTACTTCCATTCAGAATCGTAGTGGCTTATTGAATGCGATGTGGCCTATACAATGACTTGCGGTGGCCAGCCGATGTACAAGTCAGTGTTTTATCCTCCCAGACGAATCTGGTACCAATTTACCGTCCCCGGAGGGTAGAAGGCTTGGTTGGCCTGGGCGGGAGTCGACCTGGGATTCGAACCCTGACCGCGCGAATGGTGAGCTCGCCACTTGTCACTACACCAGCCCCTCCCTAATACGCCCCAGCATTTGCAGCGAACAAGTTGTAAACTGGAATCTGCTACTTCTTCTCAGATCCATTGTTCCGCCTGTTTTTGTACCTGCATTATCGCTTCAAGTCCATCCAAAGTGCCATCGACTGCCAATCTGTATGTTTCGACTTTCTTAATTCCCTCCTCAAACGTTGGTTCCAACTTGGTCTCCTCGACTATTCCTATTCTTTCAGCTGCCTGCAAGTATTCTTTCCACTTGCCCGGGTCTTCATAGAGCGATTTTTTTGTTTCTGCTCTTAGCATGAGCTTTCGTTGTTTTTTGTTGCGATCTTGATTCTGTTTTGTTATGGATAAGCAGCAAACTAAAGCAAAGGTCTAGTCCACGTTAGTTTGTTAGCCCGCCTTTGTGTCCTCCTCACTAGCGCGCCCCTCCTCTTTGCTGCTCTAGAGAAGTAGACGAAGGGGTCAAGCCCAAATGATTGACTGCCCTGCCCATAGGTTAGACGTGGACTGCCCATATGTCTTTAACGCGTTAGAGAGAGAGGCAGAAATGGGAGAAGCACAATGGTTTACTGCCTCTTCCCTTGAAAATGACCCATCCCATGTCAGATGAGCCACAATCCGCCTATCTCTGGGATATGGAGGTTAAGGGAGGGCAACCAAACCAAC